TCCATTTGTAAAGTGGAGTGCGTGAAGTAAAAAGCAATGTCTTTGTAGTCAAACCATTAGACCAGGAGTTAGGAGACCTGAGCTTTCATCAGTCCTACAAGAAATTCCTTGTGGATAAACCACATTCTGTTCTTTGACTTTGATGTTTTTCTCCAAAAGGACAAAAACAAAATGGCCATTTGTTGCACTCAGCTATAATAATGACAAGTTCTTTGGAGATCAAATTCACTCATGCTTATGACATTGCTAAAGTGTGGTAATTGCAAAAGTTCACATTGAAACTATTGTCTTAGAGGTATTAAAAATTACCACTTTTATGGCATTATTAAGACCATTTAGTAGAGACATATAAATTATGAATGTGGGAACTCGAGACTTTGCCCATAGACGTTTATTCAGCTGGTGGTTTTTGCATGCAGAGTACTACAGTGTTTACATACACACACACCTACACACCCTTACTCTTACCTGTTTCCTTATATTAAAAGCCAGCATCAGAGCTGTTCCATGAACTCCAATACATTTCATTTTGACAAGGAGGTCCATCCAAAGAAGAACTATCTCACTGTGGGTGCAGTGCCTTTTCTATTAGAAAGCATTAGCCATAGTTCAGAAGTGAATGGCTTACCACACACCATATATGAAACCTCCAGCCCATGACCCTCTATGTGAACTTCTCCATTACCTCAACTTCTTTTTCCACATGTTAGAGCAAGTGCTCAAGGATGAGCAAATCTGGTTTGGTAGCTAAACTTGGCTATCTCTAGGACATCCCCACCAATGTCCCTCTCGCATTCAAGATTCAGGAGTTTGTGTTAACAATAAAATTCTAAAACAAGAGATAGAACCTTCCACCAAGAGGTGTCCACATATAGCAGTCTGTGCTCTATGGGCTTTGCTTCTGCTCATGTTCCTACCATGAAAATCAGTCCACCCTGTCTGTGCTAATCAATGAGAAAAGAAAACTTTTGGTTTTGGTCTTCCTGCCAAGACTTTCCAGTGGTGAAAAAGGAATTGATTTTGTAATTGCTCTTTGCAGTCTTCATTTCATTATTGCAACTTACTCATTATCCATGAGCTTCCAATATTTACCACATTTGCTCCTAGAGCACTACATGTTGCTTTACCCTCCAAAATAATTTAAGAGAAAATCAGAGATCATTTTGCTTGTGCTGCCTCTCATTCCCTTTTACTAGGATGTATCTGCATGCTCCACAGGACAGTCTGCAAAGTTCTATCAAACACTTGATGATACAGTTCCTGCATTTCAGTTCTGTGTCCTCTAATCTGTGAGATGGGCAAAGTCCTGGAAGGAGGTTAATGGACTCATAGAATGGTTTGGATTAGAGGGACGCCAAGGATCACTTGGTTCCAAACCCCTCACCATGGACAGGGATGCCACCCATTACATCAGGTTGTTCAGGATCCCCATCCCTGGCCTTGGACACTCACAGGGATGGGGCACCCAGAGTTATTTAGATATTCCTCTTCATTCCAGAGTTGTTCAGATTTCCGTAGCTTGTGTTGTTATTTATGGCAGCCTGTGATCATGGAAATGCATCACCACTACGGAAGACACGCCATAATCCAATCTGCAATTCCAGTGACTCTCTTTACTGGTGTTTTTAATATAGGTGCCCTCTGTTGAATTTTCTGTCATCTCCTAAACAGCAATTGCTTCCTTTCTGTAACAGCTGATCAAGCTGTCTTTTTAATTGCTCACTTCTTACAGTATAAATTTCCATCAGGTTTGCCCTTGAAGAGAATGATCACTCTTCCAGAAAAAGTTCCTCACTGAATTGTTATTAAACAATCAATATTTCCAGTTGAATGTAAGGCAATCTGGTTTTCTATTCCCTCCTGGTCACAAATCACCCCATTTTTTCTTTTGTTTCCTCTTTCCCTAGACCTCTTAAAATTGATCTTTTCCCCTGTGGCAGGCCTAAACAAAGATTTCAGCAAGGGGCAGTCCAATAAGTCAACGCTTTGGATGTCGCACAGCACTAAAGCCAGTATCTCCAGACTGGTTTCCATCTCCTCTACCAAATCTCCCAGCTTCCAACTCAAGAAACACAGATTGCATTTATCCTTTGGCAGAAATAAAGCCGAGTGCAGCCAGGGCAGGTAACTGCAGTAACTCACTAGGCATCTGTGTGCTTAATAAAACATAGTGTTCTCCTGGCACAGAAAGGAGCCAAATGCCCTCAGCTGCCATTTCACTAAAGTAAGCCCTGCAAACCACAGGGATTTAGAGTTCTTACATCCAATGCTTTTTGCAGTCCTTCATGCTCGCACACTAAAAGGGTGCTCATTGATTTAATAAAGCCAAGGTCTAGAGAGATCTATAAATACAAGTGTTTTACCCTCATGCATTATTGCCCTGATGCCCAAGACTGAACTTCTGCTCTTTCACAGATAAATTGCTTCCTCGCTGGTTAACACCAGCTTCCATTAGCAAAAGTGGTGGCAGACATATTTGGGAAGGTGATCCATGATAAAACACAGCTTCGTCTCTCTCTTTGTTTTCCCTTTGATTTCTTTACTTGCCACATCCCATGCTCCTCTTTTTCCCATCTGACTATGCTCAGAAGAAATCAATGAGGTATTCTTTATCAATATTACCTATAAAGTTATCAATGATCTCACTAAAATCTACTGAATTCAGTGCAGTGACAGATATCAACCTCGAAGGGTTCAAGATGCTCTTGATCCTAGAGTTGCCAAAATTGCCTTCTAAAAGGCAGTCTGAAACAATTCTTTACATCTTTTATAGGCATGCAATAATAATAATAATAATATCAATAATATTAGGGGAGAGGGTGTGTTGATATTTCAGTCCTAAAGTAGAACACGTTCTGTACATTCGGCTACTCTGTAAATTCCAATATGTAAAACATAGGGCTTTCTAGCCTATACTTTTCTTTGCATTCAACAGTAAATTAAGGTTTATGGCTTTTATTTAAAAATATCATAGGAAGTTTTATTTAGAATTACTGTTTTACAATAACTCCTAGGCCTTGGCTTGTCCAACTGAACTGCTCCCAAAAATGCTTAACTTCGAAACAGAATGACAAGGAAGCAGAATGTTTCTCCCCAAAATGTGCATCAGCTAACAACACCATTAACCACTGCACTCCCAGCACAGCAGGCAAAGCACTCTGACGAAAGCATCACTTGTCCTTTCACTGTCATGCTATTACAGCATATTCAGTCACATTTCTGCCTTCACCTCTCACCCTTGTGAGCTCCTCACCCACTGGGATCGTGACAGGGACCAGCTGGGAGCTCAAATCAGCAGTGTTTCCAAACCTTACCTTTCCTTCTTTTTGCTGAGCTACAAGCAAAGACTTCTGGACGCACCCCCAACTCTGTGAAAGTTCTCCCCACAAATTCACATGGTAAACATGGTTTCACAACATCCTGAAATAAAGTCATGTACAACTTTGTGCCCGGGTTTTAAAGTCAAAGAAATTATTGCCAGATCATGTATTGGGTTACTTTCAATTAGCTCAGCTCTGAGATAACCTTGTGTTACATAAAGGCAACAGAGTCACCCAAGATTCGATTATCTGAAACATTCCCCTCTCTGCGCAGTTACATTTAGTACACGTCTGGATGTTCTTACTAGCTGAAATACACACTTACCAGGCAAACACACATTATACAAGGGTTGTCTGTGATAAAAGGTATCTGCAAAATTTCCCCTTCATTTTCACATTTTGCAACCGATCCTGAAATAGAAATAAAAATTTTAAAATACTAGCATACTTCATTTCGCCCTGACAGTTTTGGAAATTATCCTCGTCACACTCATGTTTAACCCTTGTTCCATTCCTAGCCCTCGATTTTAAATCCTGCCGTAATTTGCCCAATTTAATCAGTTCAGCATTTCTGCAAGATTCTAAAGAGAACAGGGAATGAGTGGCCTTTTATTGCTGCACAAACCTAGACTTTCTTTGTGCCCCAGTTATAGCAAAGAAGGACGCTTTTTCTTCTCTCGGATGACGTGTGGAGAATAACGAGTACTCCATGCAAAGCAGGATACGTCTATAACGATAGATCCAGAGCTCACTGAAATCAGCAGAAAGCTGTCCATTACACTCTGAGGACCTGGACCAGCACAAGCCCTAAACCAAGCATCCTTTCAATGCACGGCAACCACTTGGCAAATGAGTCAAAATTAGCAGGCAGACTGTCAAATGGAACCGAATTAGGAAAGCCTTTACGGCCCTAATGCTGATTAGTCGGTATTCTGTCACGCTGGAATCACTCCTCAGTCTAATGGCTCCTCGCCTGCGCTAGAATTTGATTCTGCGTTTCGCTCCGTGCCCCAGATCCCAGGAAGATAAAACCCTCGAGGGGAAACAGGGAGAATGGGGCGGGGGAGGAAAAGCAACAAGAAAACCATTTTTGGGGGGGAGAGAGGCACGGCCGCTGCGCTCACCTGCCCCAGCGCAGGCGGGCGCACCTGGGGCCGCCCTTCCCGCGCAATGCCACCCGGCGCAGGTGGGCCCGCAACGCCCGCGCCCGCCGTACCTGTGAGCAGGGAGGAGGCCGGCGCGCCGGGCAGGCACAGGACGCCCAGCAGGACGGCGGCGGAGGCCGGGGAGAGCCGCGGCATCGTCCCGGGGGTGCCGCTGCCCGCCCGGGTGCCGGCTGCGGGGCAGCGTCCGGGCCGCGCCGTCGGGCGGCGGAGCCCGCCCACCCCCGGCACGCCCGGCCCAGCACCGACCCCCGGCGCCGGGCAGCGGCGGGGGGTGGGGAGCGGCACGGGAGACCGCGGCCCGCCGGGGAGTCCCACCCCACGGCGGCACCGGGGGAGGGGACTGCGGGCGCGGGGAGAGCGGCTGTCAGCGCCTGCCCCTCGGCCCCGCACCCCCTCTTTCCATCACCCCCCTCCCTCGCCCGCATCCCTTCTTATACCTTCCTCTCCCCATAGTCCCTCCTCCGGCACCCCCCGGCCCCCATGCCTCCCTCCCCCCCGGCGCACACACGCACAGACAGGCTGCCAGCCCCAGACCCCGTTTCCCTGCCGGGAGATGCCCGGCCACTCCCTCCCGGCCCCGCCGAGCACCTCCCGGCCCGGCAGCGGCGTCGGGGGCTGCGCCCGCGGCCGCTCTGCGGGAGGGGCGGGGGAAAGGGAGAGAGAGGATCGAGGAGAAGAGGAGGAAAGAAGAAGAGAAGGAAAAGGTAGAAGAGAAGTAGCAGGGGAGGAAACGCGGATCCTCGGACAGAGCCGGGGTACCTGGGCAGAGCGCGGCGGCTCCGGCGGGCTCGTCCCCGCCTGGTGTCAGCGCCCTCGGTGCTGCGGGCAGGTTTTGCCAGCCGCCAGCGAGCGGCGAGAGGGAAGGAGGGAAAGAAGGAAGGAAACAAGGAAGGGAGGGAGGGAGGGAGCGAGAGGTCGGAGTCTGTCCGCCGGGAGCTCCGCAGAGTAGCTCCGCTCCCCCGCGGCCCGCCCGGCCGGGGCCGCCGCTCTCCCTCGCCTCCCTCTCCTGGAGCCGCCGCTCCCCGAAGGGCTCCTCCGGCCCTCCCGCCCGGCCCCGGGGCTGCCTGGCCCCCTCGGGCTCCCCGGAGCTCGGCACGGCGCGGGTTCAGCCGGGGCAGCTCCCGGGCCGCGCTGTCCCTCCCGAGCCCGGCCCGCCGAGCGCGTCCCTCGGCCCGTGGCTCCCCCGTGAAACCTTTGCAGCTCCTCCTTAACACTTGCCACTTGCAGGTCCACGCTTTGCTGTCTCAGGTGCAAACACGGGCAGTGTTAGCGACAGACATCCCCGACACCCAGCGTTTGTGCGCACAAGTAGGCGCGGGGACTGGACGGGATGACACTCGGGGAGAGTGGCAGGAGACTCTTCAGTGACAGATCTTCCCCAGCCTGCTTTACAAATCGATTCCTTTCAAACTGTGATGTTTCACTTGGGGAAATGAACACTGTCTGAAATTTACTGCTCTGACAACAAGCTGAAAAATGCTTTCATATTTCTACACGTCCTGATTTTATTTCTTTGGGGGCTGCATGTGAGGTGTGATTTCCAAAATGCTTACAAATAGTGGAAAATCAGGTGCATGGCAGGCTAGTGTATACAGGACTGCTTCAAATACATTTTATTTTCCAAGACAAGCTGATTTGCAAGTTCATTTTGAGAGTAAAACCTGAAAGCCAAGACCTCTAAAAGTCTACACCCTTGCTCTAAAAAGTAAGATACGTACACCTCACTTTCAACACAACTTGTCACCTACCTTTAGGGTAGAAAGCAAAAGTCCTACAACAGCTGAAATTGCACCTATGGGAGGGACTGCAGAAAACTGATACCGATCACCTTCTGGACATCACTATCAAAATCCCTCTCCCTGAGGAAGGGAAACCTACTTTTTTCTTCCAGCCTCAATCTGTACAGGTTGAAGCTGCTTAGGAACATACAATAATTTAGATGCCATTATAAGGGTTTTATATTCCCTAAAAACACAAGTGAGGTCCAAAACTTTCTCCACGCTCTGTAGAATATATTATAAACTCAGTATATAAGTACAAAGCATGTAACCTGGAAATATTTTATTTTCCTGGGAAATATAATTTTTGCATTTCCATGCATTTTAAACAAAGATAAGCCTATAGAGGTACATATTATTACACACTACTCCAGAACAGATTTTCACACATCCAGATGTTTTTTCCGTTGGAAAGATGTACTGAATCTTCTAGTAAACTGGCCTTTTCTTACTTCTCTATCTGTAATCAGTGGTTACATTTCCCTTTTCTAATTACAGTGCAGCCACAGCCTTTCTAAAGCAACAGCCATAGGAAAAATAAATCTACGCTGATAATTTCTTAAGTGACAACTACCACAGGAGAGTACTTATATTATCAAATGCATCGAATCTTCTCTTTATGCTGGTCTAAAATTCATTAAATATTAACATCTCCCGGTGTGAGAAACACACAAATCACAATGAGGGCATCAAATAACAATCCAGGCATCCAAGTAACAGCAGGGAACATGCTAAAATAGTCTGGAAAACGCAAAGAGGAAAGTTCTTTACAAAATGAAGACAGAAGGTGACAACAACTGAGGATCACACTCAATCCCTGCCATAATTCATTCACTTTAAACAAATACTTCATGAAATCATACTAAAGCAAAGCAGTCACAAAGCAATATGTTCAGATTTGTGACGTGATTGTCCTTTTTCCATGGAAAGAAACCATTGTCATCATCACTAAAGCACTTTCCACACACTGATTAGGCCTGAAACTTACCTCTGAACATGTGCAGCATGAAAACCTTGTCCATGGGGTGAGCTCACTTCGTCTGTTCATATTCTGTTGTGGCAGCAGTGCTGAGGAGAGGAATTTGCTCGTCTTCCTTGCTTGGAGCACCTCCTGAAAAGGGACTTTAGGTCTCCCTGTACCATGGCTGCTCCACACCTCACTGCCTTTTGCTGTCCAGTGGAAGAGCCTGCTGAGGAGTGGTGCTGCCTCCGAGTCTCCCTGGTTACCTATCTCCTCTGTCATCGGGGAAGAGGGGAGATGAGAGAGACGCTCATCCTTAGCAGCAACCTTTGTTGCTTCCTTGGTATTGATAATGATGACATATCACAGGGGAAGATCACTCATTTAAATCTCTCATGAAGTAAAACCTAGCCTGGGAGGGAAATATGCCATCTTAATCCTCCCCCACCTTAGTTTCACCCACTCAGTGCTACAGGTTTGTCTTGGCTTTTTATCTCTCCTTTACCCATTCTGCCAAGCCTGCCTTATCAGGGGTCAGCATCCTTTCTCACTGAGTTAAGTTTCAAGGTGGGTTGGTTATTTTTTTCCCTTTTGTATCCCTGTTTAAAGAGGGACCTATTTTTCCAAGCAACATTCAAAGCTGCGGTCATTTCAGCAAAATCAGAGGGTCACACTGAAAAACGGTGTCCTGCTATCAGATACACACAGAGATTTTGTGCTATGGCAGCAGTTAAAACAGCAGTCATGTCATCAGACCACTTACCTCTTTTGTATAAGCATTGCATGGTATCAGCTGTTATTGAAAGGAGACGTTCATTAGTTCTATTTAGTGGTCGGCCTTGGCTCTTCCAGCTGATGGAGCAGTAGCTGTTCACAATTACCACTTTGTGCAGAGCTCAGCTTCTTCTCCAGGGATGATTTCCCAGTGGTCAGCCATAAAAGAATGTCATGGTCACCCAGCACCCACCCTAAAAGAAAAACAAAGCTTTATGCTTAACAACAGCAACACTGAAGAAGACAGTGATCACATTCACATTTCTCCTCATGATTTTTTTTGCAAGTCAAAATCGCTAGGAGGCCCATTCTCCACGGGCTAGGGAATTCTTCCAGAAGTGGCAGAAGGCAGCCATGAGTCATTAGCATTAGCATATATTTTCTTTTTTTCTTTTTCTTTTGGGAAGTCACTTTTCTAGGTCTTGGGCATAGGTTGTCCTAGAGTTTCCCTATCATGCAAGAAGAGTGCAATAAACATGCTGCATGTACATCAACATTGCAGGTGTCCCTGCTTTTATTACTTTCATGCTGTTACACCTTTTTCTAATACAGTTTCTTTGTGTTTATGAGACTCTTAGCATAAAGAAGAAAATATGACCCACATATACACTGTCTTGAAGGCTCTGTAGATTGGCACAAGTTGCTGCTTCTAGTTCTGGCTTGCTAAAGAACTATGCATTTACAAGGTAGTGAAGGTGGTTTGCATATCTGATCAAGCTTACACATTTCTATTGTTATTAACAACTTGCAAAAGATAAGGAGCTCTCCATCCAGTAACTTTCATCATCAAAGCAAAGGTCAGGGTGAACACATGTGCTGTAGTTGGAGGCTGATAGGCTTCAGCCCTAAAAATTCTTGCAGAAAGACCTATAATTTGGGAAAGTGTTTTACCTTTATGGTGCATCAGCACACAGCAATTGAGAAGTTCAGTAGTAACTCACAGGATTGTGATGAAGACATGGCACTTTCCTGCAGGAGAGCAGCTGGGAGTTTGCAGTTCATTCCTCAGTTCTGAGTGGGCTGCAGCCTTTGAAATGTCTTTGCGTGTTCATCCATTTCAGTGCTTAATCCTGTTCTAAAAAAGAGTCTCTGCCAGTGTGGACAAACAGTATTTCTTGCACACCACTTCTCCTCTAGGAGATGATGTTAATAAACCCCAGAAGTGGCCTGATTATGTCAGAGAGGTGCTCCTGATAAAGATCTCCTTCTGCAAAATATTCAGGAAACTTAAATGGATGCAAGCAAGGTCTGGAGACCACACCAACAGGTTTTAAAACTGTAACAGGATTAAAAATCACATATGGTCAAAGTCTTTAAATAAAAGCAAAGTACAAGAAGTATCTAAAATTTACAGTGAGACTTACTTGCATAAATGTTTATAAATTTTATCAAACAACTCATAATTTTGACAGTTTTCCATAAACCCCTGGAACATGCAAAGCATTTAATTTATTTGTGGCAAGATAAAGATAATGAGCAGCATTTTAAAAGTTTATTAACATAAAATGTCCTGGCACAGTCATACTTACATACTTCTATTGTTTAAATTATATTTTCTAAGAACTCAAAAAAAAAAAAAAAACTTACAAAAGGGAGCTTCTGATTGCAAAAGCATTCAAAATTATCTTCATCATTTGTATTCATGGAAAAGCAAACCAACCAAACAGCATAAACTAAACTGGATACAAGCACCAGCCATACCTCAAACTGAAAAATGCTTGTGTGCAGCAGAAAATATGGCTCCAATATGGAGACAATAGACTGCTGAAATAGTCCATATCAAATATGCTAAAACAACAACAAAAGAAGTAAATTACAGCATAAATGCTGAAGTTATCCCAGTGATGGGATTCCCAGCAGAAGCTGTTCCAGAGGCCACAGGCCAAGCAAACAGAGTAAAGCAGTGTATGCCGGTACTTCTTTCTGTTATTTCACTGCTGTAAGTAGCTTGCCTTCCAGAGATAATAAAAATTATTTTATGTGAGTTATGTGGGTTTTTGTTACATTTACCCTTGAACATCTGCTGTGTCTGATAAAGGATAAGAGCTAATGAAATCACATGAAGAGTGGCATACATGGAGAACTGCTTTGTTTCCATTTGTGAGATAAACCAAGCCCTGCATTTTGCCTGCCTGTTCTACTGCCTGGTGAGTGCAACAAACAAGGAGTACTCAAGAAACATTCTATAAAATGGAAGATTGATTGATTGATTGATTGATTGGAGATGAGGATGGACCCTGTCTGTACTAGCCAGGTTCTTTATTCCATCGCCTGCCCCTGCAAAAGACCAAATGTGGTTATTGTGACAGTAGACATTCCTTCCAGCCAGGATCCAGTTGAGAAGCAGCTGCCTCTACTCAGCACAGAAAGTCAAAGGCTTTCATTTTTGCTAAAAGACAAGTCGCCATGGTATGCAAGCTGTAGGAGCATCAGTTCACCTACTAAAAGTGTACCACATGAGTCTATTCCTATTGCTACTGCTCTCCTTCACAGCAGAATTTCTCCCAGGACTGTTTTTTCTTTTGAACGACACCCAAACGCTTGCAAACTCATCGTTGAGGTTTGAGGAGCGAAATCCGCGGACTCGGAGCGTGCTCTCCTCCCCCGGCCCCCTCGCTGGCACCCACGCGAGGCAGAGGAGCCCCGCGAGTTTCCCGCCGCCCGCGGGGAGCGCAGCGCGCCGGGCGAGCCGGGCCTGTGCGCGTCGCCGCCGGCAGGGGGCGCAGCCGGGAGCGCCGAGCGCAGGGCGGGAGGAGCGGGAGCCGCTCCCGGGATGATCCCGAGCCGCGGGTCCGCTGGGAGCGAGCGGGAGAATGAATCCTTGTGTCACCGTGGCGGGGCTGGGAGCGCTGAGCGCAGGGAGGGAATAGCGGGAGCCGCTCCCGGGATGATCCCGAGCCGCGGGTCCGCTGGGAGCGAGCGGGAGAATGAATCCTTGTGTCACCGTGGCGGGGCTGGGAGCGCTGAGCGCAGGGAGGGAATAGCGGGAGCCGCTCCCGGGATGATCCCGAGCTGCGGGTCCGCTGGGAGCGAGCGGGAGAACCGTGTGGCACCGTGTCTCGATCTCACCTACACCTGCGAAGCGCTCTCTTGGTTTATTCTCGGAATGTGGCCTTTCTTTTAACTCTTCTGGCTTTGTCTGTACAGGACATTCGCTTTTGCTGTCCCTGCGACACACGTGATTTTATCCAGAAACAAAAGTTTTACAATACAGTAACCCCTGTTTATTGTTATTTTCCAAATACAATGCCTAACCAATTTACTGATTACCTTTTATGTTCAGTATATTGGCTATACAACGCTACAGCTGGTAATGCTGTATACAGCTCCTTACCCTTCCTTCTTGGCTTCTGACCGAAGTGAAGCACACTCAATTAAACAGTAATACCCGATCAGACCTGCTGACGGTACCACACGTACAGAAAGCAACGATCTGACAATCATAAGCAGCCTTGTAAAGCCCCATCAATCAGGATATGTCCAAATAACGCACCTGAGCAAACTGGGGCAATCCTGCACCGATCTGCTGAAATTTCTGCAAGTTATGCAGCTTCATAATGAGTAACATGACCATTGTTAAAGAAGCAATACTGCAAGATTTAATAATTATAACTGAGCTGTCCACCACTCTTACTGGCTTAATTAAAAACTGAATATTCTGCCTATGTTTAAACCAAGTAGATGCACGTACACACACACAAAAGGCAGAAATAAGAAAGTATACTAGCAACAAAGCAGAAATTCATTTAAAATGCATTTCATTTTGCTACTGATTTCCCCAGGTCAGATTAATCTCAGACCTTCACCAAAAAGAAAACACAGAGCCACTCGGGCAAGAGGAAAAAATGCACTTCCAGAAGGCAGTGTAATTCATTTACCTGCCTCTGAACTATCTAAGGCTCTTTCAAGAGATGAGAGCAACATTACATGTGCCAGAGGTGGGCTTTTGGTGTCATTACACAAATCTGCAGGGAGTTTTTGCCAAATCCCTGAGTTTTCTAACAGTAGCATACCTCCAAATATATCATTTAGAAGCATGAGGTGAACAGAGACAGGGAATAGTATTTACTTTGGGAAAGTATCAGTCACATGTCTTGTATATATTAGCAGGTTAAACCCAGGAGAGGCAGCTGAATTACTTGTGACCAAAGAAAACAATTAATCAACAGTTTTAAGGCTTCACAGAATTTTAAATATGTATTTACATGTGGTATACACTATTTATTTTAGGTATCTTTAAACCTAGACTCTGAAGTCTGAAGTTGGCAGAAGATGGAAAACATCTTCTGAGAGGTTGCTTGGTGATAAACTATTTTCAGACAGAATAGAATTTGTGGCTTAGGGGTTCTGGGGTTTTAATTCAGCTAACTGGAAAAAAAAACATTGAGCTGCCTCTTTACCAAGTTACTTAAAATTCTTATCAGTTTTAATATTGCTATATATTATTTTAATATTGATCTAATTATCTTCATTATTCTTATGTTTGGATTAAATTGAAGTCAGTCTATATGGCTGTATGGTAGCTTGTATTAGTATGGAAGTCAGATAATAAATAAGACCGCTAGTATTAAACAGAGAAAATTATGCTGCTGAAAGTATTTTGGAAACTGCTCACCATGCTAATAGACCACATAATTTAGACTTTTTCCCTGGAAACATTCACACATTAGAGTAGTCCCAATGAGGTCAGTGTGAATAATCCCATCATGGGCAGAAGGTCCCGTACTGCAGGCACTTTTGGCAGCAGGTGCCCGTGGGAAGCCAAGATAACTCCACTCACAAGTGGGGTGGCTGCAGCATCAGGGTGTCCCTGTGTTCAAGGCTCACTTTGTGTTGGATTAGCCAGCAGTGAGTGCTGTGCAGCCAGCCAGCCACACCTCTGGCCTGAGGATACACCATCATGGTCCAGAAGGACACTGAGGACACTCCACCCCATTTAGTTATCCCTCACATTCCAGCTGGCAACAGACCTAAAACAATCCACAAACTCAGCTCAGCGGCACCTAGGGGTCACCCAGTGTTTCCTGGGACAAAGTGGTTTAATGGAAACCAGAGAGAAAGAAACCCAAGAGTCCAACTGGAAACCTCTGGAGAAAAGATGTGTGATTGCTCCATGTTTACAGACTACACCATGCAAGCTGCATGACTTGGCTGCCCACTGGCATCCCTTGGATGGCTTGAGTGGGACAGCTGCAAGATGGAGAATCCCAGCCTTTCCCTAGAGATCACCCAGGATGGCATTTCTAAGCTTTCACAATTACTTTCTTAGATTTGTTTTGAAGGAGGTGTTTACTTTCCTAAATGCTCTTATGAAGAAAGAAAAATGTCAAATAACAAATTACAGAATTGAGGGTTTCTCTATCCCACTGTAGAGCTGCTTTCAATTGCTGCTGTGCCAGCAGTAATGAAAACAACTGGACTTCTTAAAAGACCATTTCTGTGCATTTGTATTTTTAAAAAAATCAACCTCATGATCCAAATGATGATGACTTCTCA